TATAAAAATAAAAATAAAAAATATTTTTAAATTATTAATTAAAACCTGATTTTTGAAATGTTGAATTTGTTATTGAATTTGTGAAATTGGAAATCTATTTTCATGTGTGGGTGTAATTTCCTCTTGTTACCACCGATTGACGTGGCCCATTCGATGCTCTAAAATCTAAATATCTGGATTATATTTTGAGTAAAAGTTGAAGAGGGACAGCTGTGCAACTAATTATTGCAGTCAAACTCGAATAAGAAATCTGGAACCAATTTTGATTTTTGGGCAGGCAACACATTACTGAAGTAGTGAGATCATAGACCAAAGGGTCATTTTTCTGAGGAAGTAAATGCAAAGTCGTACAAGAAAGAAAGGAGTTAAAAGAGATTGGGAGTGGATCTGGACTTGGACCGTAAAAAGGTGAGTAAATGAGTGCATTTACAACTATTCACAATGAAGCCTAGCAGGACAATCCAATATGAAAAAAAATGAATAAATAAAACGCATCCCAATACAAATCTGTTTATTCCTTGACCTAATATATTACTTAAAAATTTCGACTTTTTAAATTTACATCTGATAGTCAACTCATCACACCCCACTCTCTCTTTTTATTCTCCTCTTTCTAATATTTAGAGATTATGATAATAATATTCTAACGTTGTGAAAAAGATTAATTGATGAACATTATTGAACATGTAAATAAGACAGACCACGTGCATGGCACCGAGGAAATCTTAACCATAAGACAAAGCTATGTTCGAGTTCGATCACCTTTGTTCGTTTATTCAGTGAATATGTGTCTACCTTGAAATGGGAATATACATCATAAAAAATAAGATTTGAATGTCGAGTCTAATGAAGAGCAATACGCAAGATCCATAGGCAAGATGATTAAGGCATACAGCTGACAATGTACAATGGAAGGAACTTGAGTAATAAAACAATTAGAAGACAACTAAGTTTATGGTCATACGAGTACAAGGATAACAACAAAAGAACAGGTAAAAACATGCCACTGAAGCCTAGCATTATTCTGACTAAATTATTTAAAATGTTACAAGTCCTTTAATCATGCTTACAAGAACACGATGAGGATCACATTGGCAATGTGCATTTCTTTTGAGAATGTCCTAGCATATGGCAGCGACCACATTGAAC